ACAGTATTAAAACAAAGTTTCTCCCTATCTGCCTGTTTCTCATTCCTTTCTCTTCCTTTTTCAAACCCAGACTTTGAGGTGCTGTATTTTTCAGTTGCTGACGTTTTTACCCGACTGCTGCTTATTTACACATTTTCTTGTTAATTTGTTTTTTTCGTTATCACTACGTCAAATGACGTGCGCATGGCATTTAAGCCCCGGAGCAAGCGAGCTGGCTGTGACAGACGAGGAGACCTGATGCGATGCAGGAGCTGCGCATCAAAGAATCGATTAGAATCGTTCTAACTTTCCCCCCATACGGCGCCCCTGACTGTGGTTGGAAGTGTCTGCAGGAAGGTTTACTGAAAAACAAATGTCCTTTGTATTGTGGTGCTTTCCAGTAGCAGAGCACACAAAGGTTTGCATATTTGTGACCTCTGTTGCTACTGCTGCTGATGTGAGAGGCCAGTATAATTTGGTTATTTATACAAATTTGTCATTTCAGTGCTGCTTCCTAATCCCTGCAATGCAGCCTTTCAGATGTCTCTTGTGATAAGAAATACATTTTTGATAGGAATATTAAAAGTAGACCGTGCACCATTGCAGCCATGCAAAATTCTGCAGGCAACTGTTCAGCTTAGTGACAGCACTATGGGGATATTTCATAATTGGGATATTAAAACAACATAGTTTTGACTATTTCAAAGTAACTGAAAAATCTTGATTATAATTCCGGATGTGTGACACTTAAAAAGACAAATCAGATGATGTCATTTGAGACATCTAGAAATGCATTGTGATTAAAGATATCTTGAAATGTTTTTTTCCCTAGACATAATATTCAAATTATAAAACATCATTAAGGGCAGTCAAAATTTATTAAATAATGTTTTGTCTATTCTATAAAAATGTATGTTTATCTGTAATGGGTCTGTATTGTTGTCTTTTCAATTCAGAGGGCCCCATGTCTGTCTTTGCCTAGGGCCCCAAATTTCCTAAATTGCCCCCTGCTTCCACTGTCTCCTCCAGGTTGTCCTCTGTTTTGCTGAGAATTACCTCCCTTATCGTGGGAGCGAGCATCGCCCTAAACTCACACCCATTGCTGAGAAAACGGATTGAAATATAAATGAAAAAGGGACATTTTAAACATATTCTTAATGTTTTCATATTTGTTATACATGGATGCCTTAAAATTGATAGATTTGATGGACAGATACTTTCGAATTAATAGGATTTTACTTGTATGTAGACACGTTTCAGTCGATGTGCTACAATCAGTGTACGATGAATAAATTCTCTGCTCAGTGGATGCCTATTCTCGATTTTGATATCAACATCATTCTACAGTAGATCAGGGGTCTTCAAAGGACCCACAAACTGATGGGTGTATATCAAACTGGTCTTATAGTCACTCTATTACATATGGAGTCATGTAACGAAAGAAATTTCTCCCCTGGATTATTAAGTATTTTTGATTCCTGGTTGCTGGGACAGGTGTTGAGAATGAAACGGTGTCCAGCTTGAAACAGCTTCTGTGTGTCGCTGAATGTGTGCATTGATGACTGAAAGACATCTTGTGCCTCCATTTATCTGTTTACTACAGTGTGTTGAATTTATGTAAATGTGTATTTAAAGTAGGGATGCACGATATAATCGGCCCCCTATCAGTATCGGCCTTAAAACTGAATATCGGACATCGGCCACCCCACCGATATTTAACCCGATATTTGATCAGCTTCTGAGTTTCTAAAGTCTAAAAAAAAAAAATAATAATACTACTTCTTCTTCCTCTAAAACTTCTTTTTACAGACTTAAAAACTTCTAAAGACGAGGGAAAAAATATTGATACATTAAAATATCACAATATCTTCATATGCTGATATATTGCCATTTAAAAACACCATATCAATCTCTTTTACTAATGAAATATTGCTATATGTCATCGTTATGCTACGAAATCCCCCGAAAATTCACGAAATTTTGCCATATTTTTTATATGTTGATATATTGACGCGGTATGCATCTATTTCACTAACAAAATCTCACAAGAATTTGCAAAATATCACGAGACTTTGTTACAGAATGATGAGATTTTGAAAGTAAAATAGATCGATACCGCGTTTTTAAAAATCAATTTGATATCAGCATATGAAAATATATTTGAGTATCTTATTTTTCAAAGTGTCAGAAATGGGTAACAAAACTGCTATTTTCAATGACTACTTATTTTTGTCCAGCTTTAACATCGGTATCTATCGGTTATCGGCTACATGAGTTTTAAAATATCGGCATATCGAATATCGGCCAAAATCCCAATATCGTGCATCCCTAATTTAAAGACATTTCAATTGGTGGAAAAAATTTCAGGGCGGGATATAAAAAAAGTCTAATCCTCCAAAACTTTCGCAAACCCCCATGCAGTACCTTTGTGGACCCCCTATTGAAGACCTATGTTCTAGATCATTTCTGACACTTTATTTGTTAAACTTTGAATCTGGAACCTGCTGAAGATTCCCTCCCGTCCTTATTTTCACATTTATCATCCCAGACTTATGAAATTCATACCACAATCACAGAGAACAGGTATGATTATGTGGAGAATATTGCATAATTTTAAACATATTGTTTCTCAAACTAAGCAGGGGAGGGAGATTTCAGCAACTTAGAACCTGGAACCTGCGAAAGATTACATCCCCTCCTTATTTTCACATTCCCCTTAAATCGTGTAGTCTTTGCCGCTTCGCCATGATGCTGTTCAGGACATCGCAGGATGTCCTGAACAGCATCCAATTCAGAAGATTGAGAAGATTTTTAAATGACAACAGACTGTCTTCAATCTCGTTTTTTGAAAAGGTTTTTTGAAGTGTGACATAAGTTAAAGTTGTTGTTCCAGGCAGCATGATAAAGACGTTCTGAAGAGGCTTGCCTATCTTGCAGATATGTTCTCTGCTCTGAATAAAATTAATCCAAGTCTGTAGGGAGTCAGTATTATTGTTTTCAATAGAAGACAGAAGCCATGATGAAGCAATGATTCTGGACAAGTTGTGTGAGAGAGAACATACCCCTGTGTTTCCCTACATTTCACAAGTTCTTGAGGGGAAAATGACATGCACCTCGATGAGCATGTGAAACATTTCATAACTGAACACCTGAATCAACTTCCCAAGCAGCTACGAAGATAATTACCTTATACTACCAATAGACTCAGCTCAAGCATATATTATCAACCCATTTTAATTTTCCATTCACAGTCCCACACCTGTCATTTCAAGAGCAGGAACAGCTAACAGAGCTGTCATCTCATGGGGCACTGCAGTTACACTTCAATTGAAAGACACATTTCGATTTTTGGTCTGAGTCAATGCCATCATGCACAACCCTGCCAAAACAGGAAGTGAGAGTTTTAATGACGTTCCCTAAAATGTATCTATGCAAGAATGTTTCTCTGCTCTGGCAGCAGATAAGACTGACCATGAGCAAAGACTGAATGCTGTTGGAAAAAGACAGCAGGGCTACTCATTGCATTAATATTGGCAAGTATTTGGCCAAGTTGTATTGCTATTGTTCTTACATTAACATTTTTGCTACAAACATAGCTCAAGGACAACTCTCTCTTATCACCAGACACAAATCAAATTAAGCTTCTTGTTTCTATTTAGCAGTGTGCATTGTAAGTCAGATTTAGAGAATGGTACATGCAAAAAACCATACACAGGTAGATTATCAGAGTTCAGTCATGAATACAACTTCAGAGACATTACAAATTATCTGTGGAGGTTTGACCAATCCGAGCATCTCTTTCTTTCTCTCATTGCATCTGAAAGCCCTCGGTATCCTGTTGTGGATTCTATGTGTAACTTTATTTTAATGTAATTAGAAATCAGTTCTAATTTCATTATTACAATCTGTTATGATGACGGAACTGTGTTATTGTAGCTTTATTTTTTATTATTTAGTTATTATCAATGATCTGGTTATTCGAACCGATTAAACATGCGGCCTTTAATACGACTATAACAAAGCTTGTGGTATTTTGTTGTTCTTTGGGTGGATTGGAGCAGCCAATGTCAAAAGTACACACATTTGTTACTTATGTAGAAGTATAGATACTGCAGTTTAAAAAACAATCTGGTATAAGTTGAAGTATCAACATGACCTCTTTACTCAAGTAAAAGTGAAAAAGTATGTGCTCCAAAAACTATTTAAAGTATAAAAGTATAAAGTAACCTTTCAAAAAAACAGCCAGATGCCACTATATGAATTGAAAGCAAAATTTTTCAACTATTTCTAAAAATTCTTTGAGATAGGGCCAAGGATGAGGAGGTCTTGTAGGTCTCCATCTCCTGATACGCTCTTGCCTGTGTCCAACCTTTCAGACATTTCTTTTTCTGAATCCGACATTGTAGCACGGCATAAACAATTCAAGTCTGCAGTTTGAAGAACACCTGCTTGCTTCTGATGATTTCCTTTAGCTAACCAATGAGGGTGTGCATTATGACTCATCCAATTATAATAGTTTTCACTAGATGTGGATGGTGCCAATGATCTGCATTGGATGATGCACATGACATGAAATAAATATTTATAAATATTTAACCGAAGCCAAGAGTAACAAGTAACATTTGTTTTAAAAATGTAAGGAATAGAAAGTACAGATACTTGTGTAAAAATGTAATGAGTAGAAGTCAGAAGTAGGAGGAAAATAAGTAATGGAGTAAAGTATAGATACCTAAAAAGTGTACTTAAGTACAGTAACAAAGTGTAGGTACTTCGTGACTTAACACCACTCGGGGCACCTTATGTGGTCCATTTATTAATCAGAAAAAAGATTAGATTTTCTTCAGCAGATCATCAACAGATGGTGAAATCATCCTATTCTGGTCACTAGATGATTGAACTAAGCCAGAACCCATGTCACTAAAACTTGCAACTTCAAAGATCGTTAAAGGGAGGTTTAAAATTTGTGTATTCTACCTCACACATGTATCTTTATTTAATTTTTTTTAACTTTTTTTTTCTAGATGCATGTTAGCTACAAACGGTGCTGCAAATGGGTTTTGGTCCTTGGTCTGCTGCTGGGTACCCTGTTTCATTTTTGGGGCCCTTCAAGCGACTTAGAAGAGGACCTCCGACCGAGACGAGGCAGTGCAATCCAAGCACTTCTCAGTGGGAAAATTTACCATATTATGAGTGATTATTCTGAAATCCCTTATAAGGTCAAAGAGAATGTGGCACGGTGTGTTGTGTGTCAGTGTTTTCATTTTGTTCTATATTTATAACTTACTCTACTCACCAACTCAATCTGTTGACTTTTTCCAACAGTGAGTTGGCTCAGAATACATGCATATGCCTGGCTGGAGAGGAAACCTTTCACCTACCATTCTCTGATCTGCTCTTTCATCGTGTTTGGGCTCACAACCTCCAGCATGCATTCTTAGAAACACGACCTGATCCTGACAACGTAAAGAATCACAGAGCAGAGGAGTACCACCACTTTCAGAAAAGGTGAAAATCAGTAAAAGTTTATTTACAAACCAGACCAAGTTTGTTGCAAGACAGCCTCTTCTAACACAGTTTGTTATAATCTGGCTGTTTCATTACCATTGTATTCAAAACATTTGAATTAGTGTAGAGTTTTATAATTTATACAAATGGCTGTTATTTTTATTTATATGACAAGTCATCTTAAAATCTTAACATCCTGTTAAGAAATCTGTGCACCCTAACATTAAAATAACTTTTTTCCTTCACCTGACTGAAAAAGCATATTGTATTTAATGTCAAAATTTTAAATAAAAGGAAAGGTGATTATTAATGAACAGATAAACAGCATTAGTTTAGCTGTATAATGTACTTATTTAATTATATTTTGCGCTTAATTATGAAAGTATGCATACTGCAGTCAGTGTGATTAAATGCCTGCACTGGTGAAGTGCAATTGTATATGTGGACCTAATGAAATAATGAAAAGAGGACCATAATTCAGCTTAAATTCTAAATTATGATGTATGCAATATTTACACGTGTCCTTACCTCCATATTCCTATTCCCCAAGGTCAACAAGGTAAGTCCCACCACAAATAAACACCTAAATATGACAAGGTGTGAGGGATTCACAATGATTGCTGTAATAATTTAAACTGCATTTAAATAATGTTGTGATACCTGTACATAATGGTGATGGATGAATGCACAGGACAATGTTAAAAATTAAACAATTAAGTTTTCAGGGATCACCAAGGTTTCCTGACCCATGGTACTGGCTTATGAGTGGATTGGACTCTTTGGAGCAGAGTTCTTAAATTTTGGCCCCTGAGGTCCGGTGTTTCGCAATCCTTAAATGTGTCTCAAATGTCAACATATGTGGCCTTCTTTTTGCCTCTTGTGGAGGACACTGTCCGATGTATCTTCCTTAACCTTGGGTATCACATGATTCATTGTGAGTCTATGCAAGCTGGCTGCTCCCTGCTAGAATAATTTTGTCTTAAATTAATAAAAATATCTTATCTTAATTGTTATTGAGTCAGCTATGTTGCGGGCAATGGTAATTGATAGCTTTTATCTTCCCCTGTGCAAATGGGTTTGCCTGACAGTCAAGCACAGATACCAATATCTCTGACTTGTGGGGACTATAAATCAAACACCTACAGTGACGGTACTGCTGCTAAAGCTCCTCAAAGACGTAATTAGCACACAGAACAGTATTGAGAAGTGCTTTGTAAGTCAACTGTTACGGTTGCTAGGTGACAGAGCATGTGCTGAATGAGGGACAGTGTCAGCCGGATAAGCCTTGACTTGTTTGAATTTACAGCCCAACTTTTCTGGCCTCTTTATTGTTATAGGAACCTTGCCTTAGAGCATGTTGTGTGCTGAACAGGATCGTGTGTGTGTGTGCGTGCGTGCGTGCGTGCGTGTGTGTGTGTGTGTGTGTGTGTGTGTGGGGGTGCGTGTGTGGGTGTGTGTGTGTGTGTGTGTGTGTGTGCGTGCGTGCGTGCATGCGTGCTCAGTCATTGCAGAAGCATCAGGTGGCTTACTAGTTCTCGGAAATAGAAGTCAAGTTGGTTAACTCTATAGCTTTAGTCAAAGAGACCTGATTGTGTCCTCCTGTGCAGGTCCTACTCTCCAGTGGATATGCTCATCATCGCTGAGGCGAACAATCCTCTTCAGTATCCCACCCAAGGTTTGGAGGTGCAACCCCTCAAAACAGTTATCATCCCAGGTAATATACATGATAGCCTGTTTAAAAAGGTGTTTGCCTTAGTTTTCAATCTTTAATTTACAGGTTTATAAACATTTATAGTCAGTCTTTCTTCTTCTTACATTCGGGTCATCTACATGTTCCATTAATAATTCACTCTCTCCACAGGTCTTGGTCTTAGACAAGAAGACAGAGGCAACTATATGGTAACTTTTGTAATGTTGTCTTATTGATTGGCCTGTACTTGCTATTCATATTGTTCTATCTGAAAACAGGTAAATTTGACAGCAACACTTGGGGTGTTTGACATTGCTGCCACAGTGGATGGGGTTTCTGTGAAAGGAGTGGGTGAAAAGCACATCTCACTGTCAAGCCTGGTTCAGGCTGCCCTGAATAGGCAACTCCAGTTTGTCACATACACCAACACAGTGTTTCATCCAAAGACAGCAGACTCAAGTAAAGCTCCCATTCTGACTTCATTATATCAGGGTGTTATGTGTGACTTTTCACACAAATGCATACATGGATAAGAAGTAGTATATAAATGTCCTCCTTATATTGGTTAAGTAAGGGCAGTGATTTCACAAGGTCAAAAAAAGGTTTTCATCCACTTGGATGTTTTAATGTTTGTTGTTTTATAAGATAAATAAATTATTAATATAATTGGATTTTGTGTTTCAAAGTAAAAATAGATATTGCATTATGATAATACATAGTATAAAATAATTGATTGCATATTCTTAAAATTAATAAAATCAACATAATCAGATTCTATTTTGTCAGCAGGGATTTCCATTGACCTTTAACTTTTGACCATCAGGATGACTAGGCAAAAAATAAGAGTTAAACAGTTGTTCTTATTTCTCATAGATTTTTTTTGTCAAATCAAAAAGGTATTTATTCCCTCTCATGTATTTTAAATCAGTTTCTGCTTCATTCGGCAGTTCAGTTTGAAACTGAAGGGCACCAGTCATTTTTCACCATCAAAGTTGGACATAGAGTTGTTCCAAAACTTTACAATTCTGGACAAAGTGAAGGTTTGTAAGCACATACTTCATCTTATTAACAGTTTGAAAAAAATTTCTTGTTTGGTTTTACCTTTTTTTTCTGTATTCTCTCTAAGGATACAACATCACCTCTCTGGTTACCATTGCTACCAAGACCTTTTTGCGCTATGACAAACTCAAAGATCTCATTGACAGCATAAGGCAGTTTTACCCCACCGTCACCATAGTTATTGCAGATGATAATGAACATCCCCAGCCAGTAACCGGTCCTCATATTGAGCAATACATCATGCCATTTGGAAAGGTGAAGAGGCTCGCAGATCCTATGTGATTCCTGCATGACGAAATTATAGTCATTAAGTCATAGTTTTTTCTTTTCTCTGGAAAGGGCTGGTTTGCAGGAAGAAACCTAGCAGTCTCTCAAGTTTCCACAAAGTATGTGCTTTGGGTGGATGATGATTTCATCTTTACTGCAAATACCCAGTTGGAAAAAATGGTCGACATCTTGGAGAAAACTACTCTTGATCTGGTAAGCTAAATATATTTAATGGTGGGGGGGGGGCTAACTGTAGTTCTGATTAGAAGCACTGGCTGTTATAATTTCTTGCTCCTTCAACAAACGAGTCAAAACCAACATACACAACAACATAAATGATTAATGGTGAGAGAACCACAACTGAATGCATCCACCTCAGTGAAACCCGCTACATTTAGAATGCAACCTGTTTCCTTCTTCCCTCTACAAGTGGACAAGCTTGTACTTGCAGCCGTTCAGGTACCGGTATTTGCCCTCAAGAAAGCAAAACTGTTGAAAAATGTGTATTAAACAACAGCAGTTTGCTTGTCTCCTGTAAACAATGAGCTTTAGGCATTCCTGTCTATTTGAAAAACAGAACTTAGATCTCTCAGGGAAGTTCTGCAGTACTTGAATACTCATAGTCCATTAGTGACACTAACAAAGACAAAACAGACTGCTTATGGTTTAAGCAAAACCCACAGAACCTGAAAAAGGATTAGATGCTTAGTTGTACGCAACACCTACAGATTTCTTTGCAGAATGTATGCTGCTACCCAGGCTAAAAAAACTCTTTGCTATTCACAACACTTCACTCCCTATGTGCTCAAGTGCCCTCTGGAGATCTTTTAGTATTGGTAGCCAGGTATTCAGGCAGGAGAAAAAGGCTTGGCAATATAAATATTGACACTTCTCTTGAACACAAACAAAAAGCTAAAACCAGTATACTGTAAGCAAAAGTTATCTTAGTTTAATACACACACACATATATATATATATATATATATATATATATATATATATATATATATATATATATATATATATATATATATATATATATATATATATGCATGCATGCATCCTGCCTTGTATCAACAGTTCAGGCTGGTGGTGGTGGTGTCATGGTGTGGGGAATATTTTCTTGGCACTCTTTGGGCCCCTTGATACCAATTGAGCATTGTTGCAAAGCCACAGCCTACCTGAGTATTGTTGCTGACCATGTCCATCCCTTTATGACCACAATGTACCCATTTTCTGATGGCTACTTTCAGCAGGATAATGCGCCATGTCATAAAGCTGGAATCATCTCAGACTGGTTTCTTGAACATGACAATGAGTTCACTGTACTCAAATGGCCTCCACAGTCACCAGATCTCAATCCAATAGAGCATCTTTGGGATGTGGTGGAACGGGAGATTTGCATCATGGATGTGCAGCCGACAAATCTGCAGCAACTGTGTGATGCCAACATGTCAATATGGACCAAATTGGTTCCAGCACCTTGTTGAATCTATGCCACGAAGAATTGAGGCAGTTCTGAAGGCAAAAGGGGGTCCAACCCGTTACTAGCATTGGGTTCCTAATAAAGTGGCTGGTGAGTGTATGTGTATAAATATATATATATATATATATATATATATATATATATATATATATATATATATATATATATATATATATATATTAAACTATTTCTATGTGCATCATGATCTTCGTTTTTTCATTTAACGACAAGAGCACTAAAGGAAAATCACTGAGATAATTTTCATAGTTTACCGTATGTTTGTTTTAAGGATGGTAAAATGTTTGCTCAGTATTACACACTTATCAGGGACATTTATTTTAAGCTAGGTTGTTCAGATGCTACCTGCTAACTTTCTTTTTAAACAAATAAAAAGCTAAGATGTCTCCGTTGACTTGCTGTTGACTTCCTTTTGAGGATTTAGATTTAATTAGGGGGGCCACATGCCGAAGGCATGGCCCACCTACTACTATTGCACATATTTATTCCGCGTATTATTAGGGGGGCCACATGCCGAAGGCATGGCCCACCTACTACTATCTCACATATTTATTCCGCGTATTATTAGGGGGGCCACATGCCGAAGGCATGGCCCACCTACTACTATTGCACATATTTATTCCGCGTATTATTAGGGGGGCCACATGCCGAAGGCATGGCCCACCTACTACTATTGCACATATTTATTCTGCGTATTATTATTATTAGGGGGGCCACATGCCGAAGGCATGGCCCACCTATTACTATTGCACATATTTATTAGGGGGGCCACATGCCGAAGGCATGGCCCACCTACTACTATCTCACATATTTATTCCGCGTATTATTATAGCTTATTATTAGGGGGGCCACATGCCGAAGGCATGGCCCACCTACTACTATTGCACATATTTATTCCGCGTATTATTAGGGGGGCCACATGCCGAAGGCATGGCCCACCTACTACTATTGCACATATTTATTCCGCGTATTATTTTTATTAGGGGGGCCACATGCCGAAGGCATGGCCCACCTACTACTATCTCACATATTTATTCCGCGTATTATTAGGGGGGCCACATGCCGAAGGCATGGCCCACCTATTACTATTGCACATATTTATTCCGCGTATTATTATTAGGGGGGCCACATGCCGAAGGCATGGCCCACCTATTACTATTGCACATATTTATTAGGGGGGCCACATGCCGAAGGCATGGCCCACCTATTACTATTGCACATATTTATTCCGCGTATTATTAGGGGGGCCACATGCCGAAGGCATGGCCCACCTATTACTATTGCACATATTTATTAGGGGGGCCACATGCCGAAGGCATGGCCCACCTACTACTATTGCACATATTTATTCCGCGTATTATTAGGGGGGCCACATGCCGAAGGCATGGCCCACCTATTACTATTGCACATATTTATTCCGCGTATTATTATTATTAGGGGGGCCACATGCCGAAGGCATGGCCCACCTATTACTATTGCACATATTTATTCCGCGTATTATTATTAGGGGGGCCACATGCCGAAGGCATGGCCCACCTACTACTATCTCACATATTTATTCCGCGTATTATTAGGGGGGCCACATGCCGAAGGCATGGCCCACCTACTACTATCTCACATATTTATTCCGCGTATTAT